GGCTCTGTACAGGGGAATGTGGCCATGGACAGGCTCCAGCCCTACACCACACTGACAGAACTCACTGAGCTGAAACCGTAGGAACTGGACAGCTGAAGGCCACCCAGCAAGCATTTCTGGACAGTCTGTGCCTGCGGATTAGCAGACATGATGTTTTTCCAAACCACATACATTTTATTAGCTGTGGAGGGAGGGTGGGCTATCACAGGACAGCAGCGCAGAGCTGCTGCCCGGCTCTCCTCCTCGCTGGGCACTTCTGGACCAGCTTTCTGGGGTTCCACAGAGGATGCCAAGGGCTATTTCACTCTTGTCCTCCTTAACCCAACTTTGCTGAGAAAGAGGACTGCGTGTTGAGGCTGAGAAGGCCGCGGCCTTCTGAGAGAGGCAGCCTGTGAGTCAGGAGCGGGGCTGCCAGGGACAGGCAGGGTTGTGCGTCAAGACAGATGTCCTGCAGAACTGCTGCGCGGGTGAGGAATCAAGTGGGTGGGGAGGACCGTTAGAGCTCCAGGGGTGGACTCCGTTAAGTGGTGCAGAGGGCGACATTTGGGGCACTGTATAAACTGTCACTTAATCTCTCACCTCAACATAGAGAGGTCAGACTCCTCGGGAAATTCAGACTGGGTGTATTTTGACAGAGGGCTTAAAGTAGGTAGAAAAAAGGACGTGTTTCATTCTTTAACCATGAAAATTAGTTTTTATTTTATTTTATTTTTTCACAATACTGGAAATTGAATGCGGAGATGCTCTCTCTATCAGTGAACCATATCTCCAGCCCTTTTATTTTGACCAGGGTCTCACTAAGTTTCCCAGGCTGGGCTGGACCTCTCAGTTCTCCTGACTCAGCTTCCCAAGTAGCTGAGATTGCTGGGGTGTGCGAGCACACCTGGTTAGTTTATTTTAAAACAACAAATGACAAAATCTATTTCCTTTCTAAATCTTACTTTAATGAAGTCCTGGATATAACCTTTCATAGGAAATGAATTTAAAATGTACATTCTTTTTTTTTTTTTTTTTGGTACTGAGGATTGCACCCAGGGGTGCTTAACCTCTGAGCCACATCCCCAGCCCTTTTATATTTTATCTAGAGACAGGGTTTTGCTGAGTTGCTAAGGGCCTCACTAAGTTGCTGAGGCTGGCTTTGAACTTGTGATCCTTCTGCAACAGCCTCCTGAGCTGCTGGGATTAAAATGTGTATTCTAATTTTTAAGAGTTACATGTGAAAATTTAAACCCTCTCCTGGGAATGACTTCCTCTGAACTAACTGTAAGAACAACACAGTTTTGAACTTGTTCATTTTCTACATGCAAAGGTACAATAAAAATCCATCTGAAGATGGAGAAGACCTACTTATAACATCAAACGGTTCAAAACAAAAATTCCACAAAACCTAGAGAGTAAGAGATGTCTAAAACTCAGGCATGAAAAATACATCAGCCATCGCTCTAAGATGGCAGAAGTAAAACTCAGCAACGAGAAGACAGACACATGCTCTTGGTTAGGGGACAGAAAGCCTCAACCTCACAGGGATGCCAGGTCTCCCAAAATTCATCTGTGCTCCTAACAGGACTCATTCCTAAATAACATTAGGGGTCTTTCCTGAGGCCAAACTGCTTCCCGAAGTTTACTAAGATAAAATAAGCAATAATATGTACACACATACACATAGATAAATTGAAAATTCACTAAACTAAAACTAGAGGAGAGCCAAGAAGGAACTAGCCTTAATTCACAGTAAACACATTAGACTCTACCACTTAAACAAAATGGTACTGGGGCATGAATACCCAGCAGACAAAGAGCCACAAAGGAAGACAAGATAAACCCCTGCATTCAGACCTAGCACATGACCAAAGGTGCATCCTGAGCCTGGGGCAGAGGGTGCTTGTGTCCTGTAGCCCACTCAGGAGGATGGCGCTTCGTCCTGGAGAGTGGGGAGCTGGCCCTACAACACAAATCACAATGCCAGACCACAGGTTGAAAGCGCTGTCAACCAGATCCCCTGAAGCCCTAAACTCTAAGACAAGTTGTGAGATACTTAGGGGACTTTAATTCCTAACTATATGTGAAATGATAAGAACTAGTGTCAATTTTGAGGTGTAATGACTATGTTTTTAGATATGCACTGAATGGAAGGGTCTATGGAGATAACAGTTCTCCAATTTCTCTTTTAAAGTATTTAAATAACAAAAAATAAATAAAAAATATAAACAAAGTATTTTAAAAACTATACTTTTAACAAAATCTAATGCTCGTCATAAGTAGCAAATATCATTTTAAAGCTACATCAATAATCCTGTATACGAGGATTGAATTACATACTGTAACCCAAATAAGTACAGTGAAGAAAATTTCTTTGAATAATAAGGAATCACAGCTCTGCACCTTGAATTCTTAAAAAATGAACAACTTGAATTTCATTTTCTGAGACTGCATAGAATCTGGAAATTACTACACCAAGATGGAATTGAGAAGAGAGGAACACTGTTGGAAATCACTGCAGAGAAAGCAACTTCCCACATGCTGTGATTCTCAAAGTGGAGTCCACAGAACCCCGGTGGGGAAGAGGGGGAACTGAGACCCATTCAGGGCTCTGTTAGGTCCGAACCATTTTCTTAAAAATGTTCCATGGCATTAATTGTTTCCTCTCATGCTCAGAAGAGTGCCCGCGTGTCATGCGGAGGCTGCATGACACCTGATGGCACTAGGTCTCTAACATTCAGTGGGCCAAGTTCATGTATTTTCAGAGATTAACATGGTTTCTCTCTTTTCCTCTCCTTGCTTTTGCTATCTTTGGTTATACCTGATATATTAGCCAAAAAAAAAATCACTATTTTAAAAACCTGATATTTTCCTTTGTGTGTACATGGAAAGATAGCAAAAAACAAGTTTATTTAGTTGGTTTTTTCAGCAGTAACTTTTTTTTTTTTTTTTTTTTTTGCTACTAAGGATCTAACTCAAGGGCACTTAACACTGAGCCCTTTGCATTTTTTGAGACAGGGTCTCGCTAACTTGCTTGGGGCCTTGCTAAATTGCAGAGGCTGGTCTTGAACTCGCATTTTTCCTGCCTCAGCTTAGAGGTGTGCACCACTGTGCCCAACTGTAGCTCTAGACTTCATAATAGTTCAGATTATTTTGGAATTCACCAATATTTTACTTAAAAACTAAACTTATTTAAATTGTATCTTCTTAAGTTTAAGAATGGATTTCTGGCTTTAGAAAGGAGGGTTAATCTTTGCTTTCTTGTTCCCAGCTCTTTCACCAGAAAGAGATAACACAACACATGGGAGGGTCCTGTGATTCCCAGGGTGGAGGCCTCTACTCCAGAAAGTGGCTAGACCATAGATAAAAGCCAACACGGGAGGAAGTGGAGTCTGTAATTCACCTTTCTGGATCTTATGCAACAGAAGCCTTCATGGATTTCAACCGAGTCTAAATAAAAGGGAACCAAATGGGCTGGGGCTGTGGCTCAGTGGCAGAGCGCTTGCCTAGCATGTGTGAGGCACTGGGTTCGATCCTCAGCACCACATAAAAATAAATAAAATAAAGGAGTTCTGCCCATCTACAACTACAAGAAAATTAAAAAGAAAAAAAAAAAAGGTGAAACCAAATGATCTCAAAGTATGTGCTAGATGTGAGCCATGAACTTCCCGCCGACAGAACTGTGGCCTGCCTGACGCACAGCCTCACACCTGGCTGGCCCTCCCATATGGCTCACAGCGACTGGTCTGCTCTGATGGGACAGAAGCAGCAGTGGTGACTGGTGACACTGGGAGTGCCCCCTGCATTCCTCAGCGCCCCACCCTCCTGGGCAGAGCTAACCTTTTAGACTGTCACCCTTGAGAGCACTTGTCAAAGTCCTGACAAAAGGAAAGCACGCAAAGGCTCTTCTGCTCCTGACCCAGGCATGGCTGACAGCAGAGGCACCCACACGGTCTGCAGCGGGCTTTTCCCCCTTCACGGAAACATACTGAAGAACGACCAGCAGACGATGACCCACTCACACTTGGGTCTTTGGCACATACTTTCACAAAAACTAGCAAAGTGACTGGATCACCTTAAGGAAAACAAATGACAAAAATCTGTGGCTCATGATACGTTGGAGCTTTTGAGCAGAAATTAGGATTTTGGAAAATCTGTGAAGACCAACATGAGCTTGGCAGCTTTCCAACATGCAAAGGCATTTCTGATGACACTGGCGGTGGCTGCACGATGAATTATTTCTGTTTGGAGGATCTGTGTAACCAGTCAATGAATCAAGACTTTCCAAATGAACCCTGTGCGACACACCAGTGGGTTTTCATTTAACGAAACACGAAAGGCTCACTGTATAACTTCAGATTCCACACGGCCACCAATCTCTTAAAAAATGACCATTTTTCAAGTTTTGGTGAAGCATCAAAGCAAAATATTCACAAAACCACCGGAGATGGCTATTACAATGTTCCCGCCTTTCCCACCACAAACCTGTGTGAGGCTGAATTTTCTTTAAATACTTCACCGAGGACAACATGTCCCACCAGATGTAGACGTTATAAACTAGTTGTTACAAAAATGTGAAGACTGCCATTTCTGCCAAACAACTTTTGATTTGGAAAATATCATGCTTTTTCATAAAAATATGGCATTTATGTTAACACAGTCAATTCATTATTTTTTTTAATTAAGTTTTTGTGTTCCTTTTGTGGAACCTGGGATCAAATGCAGGGCCTTGTACCCGAATGCTAGGCAAGTGCTCTACCACCTACTACAGACTAGAAAATATTTTTAAAATGTTAATTTCAAATATGATATAGATAAATAGATTGACTGATAGATTGATCCATAGATAGAACCCATATTTTAAAAGGCTCTGTGGGATCATCAATAATTTTTAGGAGTGTAAAAAGAGTTCTGAGATCAAAATGCTTGCACAATGCTGTTGTCTAACATCCCCAATGCATGGAAGCATTCTAAGTAAAGGAAAAATGGAATGGACAGAAGGCTAAATGGACATTACTTACAGCAAAAAGGCCTCGTTGATGGCTTCAAAGAGCTCGGGCCAGAGGACCTCCTGAGGCCCTTGGCCATGGTAGGTGAGCAGGGCCTCCACCAGGGGTTGACAATCAGGCAGAGTAACAAGAGGGACACAGATGCGTGACAGGGACATCAAACGCTCAGGAGCCATCCTGTGGAAGAAGTAGAATAGGAAATACCCAAATCTGAGAGCCACAAATATTAAAAAGGTCTAAAATCCTGATGTGAAGAGATGGATGGCAGGCCCCTGTGCTGCCATCCTGTTTCAGTGTCACCAAGACTTTACCTGGGACCACATCTATGGTCCCCTCCAGCTCACCAGGCTCCAAGGGGACCCCGAGTTCCTGTTCCAAGTGTCCTTCCCAACGCTGCCTCCATGGACTGGCCCTGAACCCTCCCTCCATCCTGGTCCTGGCCAGATGACCACCTGTGCCTGGCTATGCAGCTGTCTCCTGTCTCCCTGCTTCTGCCCTTCCTCCCACTGCTTATCATTAGAAGGTTCCAGCAGCTCTCCAAAACTTCAGACCACGTGACCGTCTGCTCCAGGCCTTGCAGTGGCCTGTCCCCACTCACTTGGTGAACAAGTGAAGTCTCTTGCGGGCCACACTGCTTCCTGTGACGGGCCTCCTTCTGTTCCATGGGCTCCACCTCCTTCCACTCTTCCCCATGTCTAAAGCTGCTCTGAATGCTGAGCGAGGCCCGCTGCTCAGCCTGCCTGTGAGCACAGCCAGCGCCCTCGCTGCTGGGAGGTCTAGATTCAACCCGGCCTTGGCAGTCTTCCCTGGCACGCCCTCCACGCACTGGCCATCATGTGTGGCAATCTGAATTGAAATTAAATAAAACAAAACATCCAGTGCCTCCAAGGTACTTGGCACCTTTCAAGTGCTCGCAGGGTACGTGAGGCCAGCGGATCCAGGATTGGACAGTGCACCTCACAGGCATAGATGAAACAGCAGACAGCACCGCTGGCCCTCAGAGCTGCAGGTCCCTCTCACCTACACAGGGGTGCTCCACTAAGCTACATCCCAGCCCATTTTGTTTTTGAGACAGGGTCTTGCTAAGTTGCCCAGGCTGTCTTTGAAATTGGTTATCCTTCTGCCTCAGCTTCCCGAGTCACTGGGATTACAGGTATGCGTCACTGTACCCTGTAACTCTCGTTCCCTTTTATAACTAAGTTTTTACTCTTATCAAATTTAGAGATGCAACTAAATCATCTGTCAAACAGTTCTTGGAAATTATGGAAAACAGAGGCATCTCGCTCCCTCATCTCTGGGTAACACTTCCAACCCTCACTCCTCACGTGTTCCATGCAAAGGCTCACCTCAGTGGGACAGCCACCAGATGACACAGAGAAAAGAACCCAGGATGCTGCCACTGGGGACACAGGCAGACACACACAGCCAATATGGAGCATAATCGGCCCGGCCTGCCACCTCTCCTGATCAGTCATCAACTGTTTGTACAGGGCCAATTCCACTTTGCTGTGTATCTGTACTGAAATGAATACACAGAAAGCTGACGGTTCGGTGTAGACCAGACTGCCACATGGCAGTTAAATGGGTGAACCAGACCTATATGACTCAAATACAAAAATCTCAAAAAATAATAACGAATGAAGAAAGCAAGCTGCAGAAAGATAAGCACAAGGTGATGTTACTCTTGTAAAGCCTTGAGATACCCCATACAACACATCTAAGTGTCCCCAACATGGCCGGAGGAGTCTCCACCCACTTCGGAGGCATGTCTAATCCTGGGAACGGGAAGAAAAAAGAAGATGGGGCAAAGACACTTTGACTTTAATTGAAACATTTTATTTTCTTAAAAATATCAATTATACTTATTACTAAAATGTTCGCATTGTAAGATTTGGACAATGGGTACAACACAGATTTTCTGTATGTCAAAGTATCTCACAATTAAATGTTTAAAAACTAAAATACAAGGTTACCAGGTAAAATATGAAAATGAAAAGAGACAATTTGTAATAAAGGAGCTAATTCCCACCTCATGTTCTTATCCCCAAAACAGCAAAGCAGTGTATGAAAACCTAATCATCTGTAATCAGGCTTAGATTGCTTAACATTTCCCCGGTCTCTGGAGTACTTTTTCCCTTTATTTATATCTTTCTGAGCTCTTCCCACTATTTATTTGGTTATATTGGTCTCTAAAGAGTTAAGTTATTTGTGCTTTTCATTTTATCAGTCAAATCAATGGAACAATTTCTCAGGTGTGTTCAAATGAAGAATCTGAGTACTTGCATGTAAACATACTAAAGGCAAAAAATCAAAACATCTTACTAGTTAACAGGATATTGTTCTGATCTACCCAGTAAAAGGAAACTGAGAGCATCGATGCTAAATCAATTGCGCCACGTAAATTTAACCAAATATGAGTCCAACAAATCACGAGGAACTGCCGCCTTGCGTGGTCTTGCACTCTGCGGTAGCTTGTTCCCACAAAGCTCCATATTTGGGACATGTGCACCAAGAGATGGCACAAAACAGAAGTGGGACCGTCACGGTTATTCCAAGCATGCCAGGAACCAGGAGGCTGGGTATTCTTACAGCCCATGAACTGTGGCCTGTGAACTTGTTCACCTGATTTGGGTGAACACCAGAATCAGACCCAACTCCAGATGCACTTCTGAGAGGCTGTCAGGGTGACAGGATCAACTGCCAAACTCTTCAATGGGTTCCTCAACTGAACAACTGGTTCCTGTCGTGGGGATCAAACTGCAGAGAGAGAAATGTGGGCTTCTATACCAGCCACCAACCAGTTATTGGTTTTTTGGAAATAGCAAGCACCTGTTCCAGGTCCAAACTCCCCTAACCACCACTAGGAGAGTGGGCTAGGCACTGCTGGCTGATACGTTCGTGATGGCTGAAAAGTGTCCATCGGTGCCAGACTGCGCCTCATAATTATCTCTTTGTTGAAGACGCCTGCTTTTCAGAAGCACATGGACAAATTCCTTGGCATGAAGCTAGGTCCAGGGAAGGAGGTCTGTGCTGGCACCTCTGTCAGCCAACAGCAGCACGGGGGAAATGGTGATTAGGTTATTCCCAGTGAATGCAAATCTGTGATGTAATCAGAATTCCTAACTGGATTTACTAAGACCAGGCTGAGTCTGTGCTAGCAGAACATCTCCCAACATGAATTTACCCTACGAATCAGCCTCCTTTTATCAGAGAAGACATTCAGCATTTGTTTTTTTGGGATTGGCTAACTTCATTTAGCTAACTTCACGTATTCTCCAACTCCATCCATTTACCTGCAAATGCCATGATTTTATTCTCTTTTATTGCTGAGTAATATTCTGTTGGGTATATATACCACATTTTCTTTATCCATTCATCTACTGAAGGACACTTAGGTTGGTTCCACAGTTTTGCTACTGTGAATTGTGCTGCAATAAACATTGATGTGGCTGTGTCCCTGTAGTATGCTGTTTTTAAATCCTTTGGGTATAGAGGAGAGGGATAGCTAGGTCAAAAGGTGATTGCATTCCCAATTTTCCAAGGAATCTCCATACTGCTTTCCAGATTGGCTGCACCAATTTGCAGTCCAACCAGCAGTGTATAAGCATGCCTTTTCCCCCACATCCCCACCAACACTTATTGTCGTTTGTATTCTTAATAGCTGCATTCTGACTGGAGTGAGATGAAATCTTAGAGTAGTTTTGATTGGCATTTCTCTAATTGCTAAAGATGTTGAACATTTTTTCATATATTTGTTGGTTGATGGTACATCACCTTCTGAGATGTGTCTGTTCATTTCCATGGCCCATTTATTGATTGGGTTATTTGTTTTTTGGGGCTTAGCTTTTTGAGTTCTTTATATACCCTAGAGATTAGTGTTCTATCTTATGTGCAACTGGTAAAGATTTGTTACCAAGATGTAGGCTCTCTATTCACCTTACTGATTGTTTCTTTTGCTGAGAAGAAACTTTTAGTTTGAATCCATCCCACTTATTAATTCTTGATTTTAATTCTTACACTACAAGAGTCTTATTAAGGAAATTGGGGCCTAATTCGATATGACAGAGATTTGGGCCTACTTTTACTTCTATTAGACCCAAGGTCTCTAGTTTAATTCATAGGTTCTGGATCTACTTTGAGTTGAGATTTGCGCCTGGTGAGAGATAGGGGTTTAATTTCATTTTGTTGCATATGGATTCCCAGTTTTCCCAGCACCATTTGTTGAAGAGGCTCTCTTTTCTCAAAGTTATGCTTTAGGTGCCTTTGTCTAATTAACATAACTATTATTATGTGGGTTAGTCTCTGTGTCCTCTATTCTGTACCAATGGTCTACTTGTCTATTTTGGTGCCAATACCATGCTGTTTTTGTTACTATTGCTCTGTAGTATGGTTTAAGATCTGGTATAATGATACCACCTGTTTCACTCTTCCTGCTCATTGCTTTAGCTATTCTGGGTCTCTTATTTTTGCAGATGAATTTCATGACTGCTTTTTCTATTTCTATGAGGTATGTCATTGGGATTTTGATTGGAATTGCATTAAATCTGTATAGTGCTTTTGGGAGTACGGTCATTTTGACAATATTAATTCTGCCTATCCAAGAATAAAGGAGATCTTTCCATCTTCTAAAAATCTTCTTTAATTTCTTTCTTTAGGGTTCTGTAGTTTTTGTTGTAGAGGTCTTTCTCCTCTTTTGTTAGGTTGATTCCCAAGTATTTAGAAAAATTTTGGGGGGCTTCTGTAAATGGGGTAGTTTTCCTCATTTCTTTTTCAGAGGATTTGTCACTGATATACAGAAATGCCTTTGATTTATGAGTGTTGATTTTGTATCCTGCTATTTTGCTGAATTCATTTACGAGTTCTAGAAGTTTTCTGGTGAAATTTTTGGGTCTTCTAGGTACTGAATCATATGGTTGGCAAATAGTGCTAATTTGAGTTCTTCTTTTCCTATCTGTACCCCTTTAATTTCTTTCATCTGTCTAATTGCTCTGGCCAGTGTTTCAAGAACTACATTAAATATAAGTGGTGAAAGAGGGCATCCCTGTCTTGGTCTAGTTTTTAGAGGGAATGCTTTCAATTTTTCTCCATTTAGAATGATATTGGCCTAGGGCTTAGCCTAGATAGCTTTTACAATGTTGAGATATGTTGCTGTTATTCCTAGTTTTTCAATGTTTTGA